TCCTTTCGCTGACGAAGCATACCATGCTCCGTTCCACCACCTGACTGATCCTGTGGACAGTCCCCTTGCCCTTACCGTCCGGACGGTAACCTATGACACGATGCATGACGCATCCCTTTTCCTTTCTTGATCTCTGACTCGGTGCGCAGTCGCACATGCGACTTATACTTAGATCCGCAGTTGCACGATCGTGCCCCTGCGTGTTTCACTTCTCATTCTATCTTTGACTCACTTTCTTATCCAGCACGTTCTACCTAGATCGAACGTGCCTTCCTATTATGGTCTTACCCTTTACCGATTGCCTCTCCCGGTAGTACGAGTTATCATCCACTAATACGTCCCCTGTCCTCTATATAAACTCGCTACCATGTACCATATTCCCTAACTTGAATCTACTTGGTTCTTGACCTCCTACTCTCACCAGAGTGATCCTTCTGCCTCACCAGCAGTCTATATTCTATCTTCTTATCTGCACCTCGCGGATAAGCCTATAGTCTCGACCTTTACTCATCGACTTCGTCGACGAGCAAAGCCCCTGTTAACTAGTCGGACTTCTTCCTTCTAATTAACGACGATCCTTACGATTAACCTTCGGGTGTCGTAAGCCTAGGCCGATATAGCTTATCATCTCGCAACCGCGTGACATAAGCTACCCGATTTGGACATAGGCGTTAAATCGTACTTGCCGAAGACACGCCAAGTACGACCCCTAACCTTGGGCTAGCCCAGGACGTCCACAGACCGTTGACGACACAAGCTCTGTTTGAGCGTCGCCAACAGATACCATCCAAGTCGTAACACTGGCGAGCTTGCAGTGATGTGCCCGGCGTGCCCACATCCGGGCAAAAACTTACCCAGTGGTTGGGAGAATTCGCCCCCAGGAACGAGGTAGGTCTGGATTGATGGTTGGGTGAGGATATTTAGCTCACCCTGGTTGACAGATGGTTGTACGCCCTTTTCATCGCTATAGATGCGAATTTCCGTCTCAAACGGAAGGCTGTCTCCTCCGACAAAATGAATCCGGGCTTCAACGCGGGATGGGCCTACTTTGTTGAGGAGAAAGCATATAAGGCCTATTTATCGGAGTGAGCTAATGAAAGACAAGATGTACGTTGTACATACTCTAATATGTAGGGTGATGCACTTATTGTTCCACTAGCGCAGCACATGTGTCAGCCATAACGCTGTCAACATGGCTGATACCAAATCCTCACGAGGCCTGGCAGCAACCGGCATAGGAACTGTCAACTGTGCTCGACATGAATTCAAGTTGCCGAATGGGGTAGGTGATCTTCAGAAGGGCGAAAGGTATGTTTGCCGCATTTTTCTACTCAGCTAGTTGACAGAGTTATAAGGTACCTGAATATGGATTACCTTGTATTCTCGACGCTGGTTGGGTTCACGGTGACCATGCTGAATATTTCGTACAATATCGCATGTCAGTGGTCCAAAAAGCTATGGAACAGAATGGATTGCATGCCAACTCGCCTTCATATACCACACAACAACATCTTGGTTCAGTACTTTATGCCAAAATTTCACATTGCAGCCCATGTCGCAGCCTATCAGGTCAATTTCTCGTAAAACCTTACTAAGTGGGTGGGTAGGACAGACGGGGAGGCGCCAGAAAGAGGTTAGGCAAATGCCAATCGCGTTGCATCGAGCACGAAGGAGATGGGGCCAGGAACACGACGTGATACATTGGATGATCACTTTGGCGATTGGAATTGGAAGAAGACAACAATGCTCGGAGTTTTTCGCATAATTATCATTATCTTCCTGGCTGATACTTCAAAGGTCGTACATTGAAGCGCAAGATGGAAGAGGCCGTAAAATGGGAGCGGGAACATTGTGCTGCGTTGTACGACCTGGAAGCAACTGTTCGGCCTACACTACTGGAAGAATGGGGGTTAGAAGTTCAGCTATGGGAGGAGGACAACGCTCATCCAAACCCTTTTGAGAGTAAGGTAGCTCGTAAGTCACTGCCCATTCATTCTGTCAACTTGTGCTGATGGGTAAATATCTAGCTATCACGCAGGCTGCGGTAAGGTCGCAGCTCGCAGATTGGAAGCAAAAGAGTTGCAGGAAGGGATCATCACTCACTCGACTCGACGTCGTCTCGCCCAGTGTGCTTATTAGCGGTGGTATTGAATTAGAAGACATGCAGTATGTGAAGTATCTCTTCGCATCACATTCACCGTTCACATGTTATGACAGACAACGGCTCAAATGTGACATTGCAAACCTCTCACTTCATCCACAGACAAACAACGAGAGGCCATTGTTCACAGGACTAATGCGTTACAGAGATGTATTGATTCTTGGACGCGTTATCAACAACTTTACATGCCGATTGTCTCAATGCTACATTCATCAGCTGACACAAGTTCGAGCGCAGCACTCAAGCCTCAAGACTTCCCACTATATCTTCCATCGGCTCTCTATTTCACCAGTGCCATCGCTGTTTGATGGAGTACGAGTGGGAACTTTGGTGGGCACAAGCTCATGATGCGCTCCACAACTCCGCTCCCATCTTCGTCTATGCTCGCACATGTACAAATTCAAGGACAAGCACTTACGTGGCCAAGCAGCATCCACCTTGTGCCCAGAATTTGATTGCAAGTGTCGAGGCAAAGAAAGATGCAGCAGCGGACAAATACAAATGCGCACGCCAAGCACTGGGGTCGCTAAGCTCTCATGTGGATAAGGTCGCCTGGGAGGAAAAACTTCGACCTCTCAGACACAAGAGGTTCGACCCATGGGTGATTTGCAGGTGGCCATACTCAGGGTACCGGAACAATATCATGGATCTGGCTGGTATCGGACAGAGATACTACTAGTCACTCTGAGAACAGCGTTCAAGACTGTAAGTGTTTTAACTGGGTGACATGATCTCTGACTTATTTTGATTTAGGGCGTCCACATAGAGTGGTGTAAGGCACGTGCTCGCGCAGCTCGATGGTCTGAGGAAGTGGAGTTACTAGCCAAAGAAATGCAACGAGTGCTTGCCTTTCTGGAGTGGCAAGGCCACTGGTGGAGCACTGTTCTGCACCCATTGGAGAAGATCACTGAGCAAGAGGGTTTGCGCATGTATGCATACCATCAAGCTGCCCTCCGTTTTGCATGCAGAACTCATTCCAAGCTCATTGGAGCTTCGTTCCTCAACTCGCCGTGGTTTCGGAGTCAGTGGATGTTTGTAACGATGACAGTGGTCCTTCGATTGATGCGCCTCCTATGGTCATGGACTTTGAAGAGTAGCAGTAGCAATGTACTAGGTAGAATAGGCACAAGAATTTTGAACAACTCAGTGTGTCCATTATTAGCTTTGGTTAGGCACAAGAACTTTGAACGAGTCAGTGTGTCCTTGTTGGCTTTGGTGTGATGATCTCAGATGGATCTCGCAATCTCATTAATCTCGCAATCTCATCGGTAGGGAACAAAGGGGAACATATAAACACTACTATACACGGGCACAGCTAAGCAATGGAGTAGGCAATGTAGTAGGGTTATGGGAACTATAGTCTACAGTACAGTGTTGTATCACACTGATCTGTAGTCCTCAGTGATTATTGTATCCCGAATCACTTGTAGTTGTAGGTAGTAATACATCAATCCTACAGGTACAGGTGGGGCAGGTGAAGTTAGGTATGGTAGGTGCCCTTTTGTTTATGGTTATCTCACATCGGGGTTTGAGATATTTAGGACAACATTTAAACCACACTTAAATGCCTTTGGGTGGCTTAAACTTCAAGTTAAAAGCAAAAAATACGACATTTTGACTAAATATTAGAGTCCCCGATGTGTCACACTTCTATTTAGTATATGGGTTTGGAAGTACTTTGTCCATAATCGAACACCCCTGCTAAATTTGTATCCCTCCATAAAGAGCAACTTCCTGCCATCGATATCTGAAATCTTAATCATAGCCGATCTCCGGAACTTGATTCTCCTCGTGATCATCTTGCATTGATTCGTGTAATATATCCTTCGTGACAGTCATCGAGTCAGATGGCCTAGACCTTTCAAATATACGTCGAAACACTATAAGTTAAATAAATACTATGGCGACCAAATTTTGTCTCCCTGGAGAACACTCGGCAAGCATTTCCCGATAGCTACACAGTACTGCTAGTTGACACATGTACACGCTCCTGGAAGACAATCGAATTCATGCTAGTTTCCGCGTCGGAGTTGGTCAAAAGTTTTGCATGATATCCTCGAACGCTAAGGATGAGGCGTGGTCCCAGCACAAACATTGGCACGACCAATAGAATTTGAAAGGCACCGGTGATGATCTGATATTCAATAAAATTTAGATTCTACAGAAATCATGAGCAATGCTACAAGCAGATATTAGTAAAAGGTTGGCACACCGACTCGGAGATGTTTAGAGAGGGATTAGCAAGTCGGATGCAAGAGACGCTAGCGAAGCTAGTGCAGAACTTTAGCAGAAAAAGATAACTACATCCACATTACAAGCTCACCTTGCAAAATAAAGCATGTGGGATTTTATCAAAACTGTGAAACAGTCCCTGATGGTCGATCCTGTCGATGGGCCGAGCCGCCGCAGGTCACGGAAGTGTTTTACAGTAATACAAACTGAAAGACACAGTGCGAGGACCTCCCTAACAGTTTCGAGAATCCAATTCAGTAAGATCAGATGTTGAGCATCCCTATCAAATGTAAAATTGCACATATGTCTGCCGGAAATTATCCACTCCTCTGGTGTTCATCTAATCAGCTGTGTTCTTTGACTTGATGAGTAAAGCTTACCCCCGACAAAATACTTGAATGTTATTACTATTATTACTGCGCAGGCAATGTTAACAGCCATAAAGACAATGACAAGGAAGATGAGCATCATTCTAGATCCCTGATACATGGCATACAACCGAGCAATCACGATGACTTGCATTGTGTTTCAGTCGAGTCAATATCGCAGAGGTGTTGCAGTTGAGTAACTCACTGTCCAACATGGCAAATACGACTAGATTTATCGTATCTAGTGTGTAGGTCATGATGCTGCCTAAAACACTTGATTAGCGATCACCCTCGTACTAGTATCAAACACTCCGACTTACACCTATTAACTCGTTACATTGAGCCAAGTTCAATGTTCCGAATCTCACTCACCCCTGCAAACGAGTGTACTCATTTGCGAATAAGATGGGTGCGTAATACTCACTGCATCTGTCAGAGAGACGAATGGCGCAAATGCTATGCCATTGGTCAGATGTGAATCGAACACAGACATATGAGACATACCCAGAACAAAGAAACTAATCGTCAGAGATGAACTATTAGCATGCCAGGAGGTTGTCGGCCTCGACACATACACAGAAAATGGTATTCCAATATAACGTATCTAGAATATTGGAGTCAGCATAACTTACCAACCACGTTATAGCACAACATGAGGTACGAACAAGCAAATACAGTACGGTCATGAGAGACCAGCGTTGTCTCTGTCGCGAATTCATCGTATTGTCCTGTTTTTCTTCTCATATGGGACTCACCCAGATGAGTTCAACCTATGATACCTTCTTTAGAGAGTTTGCTACTGTGATTGTATCATCAACCTACCTCTTGTCCGATCGTGAGTACTGGAAATGTATGAGGATATAAGCGGTTTTCGAAGACTGTCCCTCTCACCCAGATCATATACAACCACAGCGGTGGCGGCAACTGCGCAATAGCAAGTCAATGTTAGGTCGAGGGATTTTGATACGACAAACCTGCGCAATAGCTGAGAGAAATGTCAATACTGATTACCGGCCACAAACTAGTATCATCTAAGACTACGGTCATATTCGAAAAATGGGTGTGAGCGAATGGGGTGTGGTTATGAGACTTGGAATTATGGTAAGACTCTTCAACATTATTCGGACTGAAAGTCTTCGTGCGGTTTATATAGTACGCTTCGCCAATACTATATCCGATCCGGTAAGTCTGAGTTTTCGGACTTGTTATGTTCCGGTGCTGCGCTGATGTCATTTTTGCTTCGGCTATTCCCGTCTCGGACTATGACCTGACTCTGACATAGGGAATGTTAGTGGTGCATAACGATAGCGGTCAACATGTACTACCATTCAGCATTTTTATCGCAAAAATCAGCATGAAAGAGATAGATATTTGATTCCACCTCAAGACCTTGCATCGGGGGAAGTAAGCATTGCAGTGCGACCCGAAACACAAAGGAAGCCCTCAATGATCAGTGAATTTAGATTTCTAAACCAGTGTTATGCATGCGACTACTTGAACCACAGGAAAATTCCAGCCGTCAGTGATGTCGGCAACTTATCTCCAGCGCGATTTTTGGGGTATGAAATCATGTGGTATTGATCTAATACGGGTTTAAGCGTGTATACTCTCGTCGGCCCAGCTAGGTGGCCGAGCCGAAGGCGTCACGGTCCGATTACTCTGATGGGGTGGGTCAAAAAGATCAGGGCCCCGGAGTATTCATCATCATACAGACGCACCGTTGTTTCAGAATCCCTATTACATTTTCACAGGCCAACGATACAGATGCAAATCAGTCACATGTCAATAACATCACATCTTCACGCAATGTAGGTGTTCCATTCTCCATCTTCGCATGAGTATCATCAGCCTAGACAATGTAATTATTGTATTCTGGAGCTGTCACATAATAAACATTCTCGTACCATATTTCTGCCCTTGTCATTGTTCTCCTACGCTTCAAATCCCTAGTTGTGGGCTTCGATGTAGATGGTGAACGACTGTGTTAAGTAAGGGAGTGCCAAAGTACCGAAAGCACTCAGCGCTGGTTAGTCTGATAGTTTAGAGAAAGACTCCTGACCGTCTGAGGCAGGAAGTTCAAGACGCACACGATGCTGGACAAGATAAAACGATGATACTAATGTTTCGAACGCGCACAGAACATAGTACGAAAGGCATGCGAGCAGCGACCCCCATTTGTCAGTGGCAGGCAACTTTGAAGCCACCTTCGGTGTTTGCCGAGAGTCAAAAAATTAGCTCTACTGCTAGCTCAGGCTAGCTCCCAGCGTGCTGAGTGCTCTCAGTTAGACTTTCTTTGTACGCCACGAAGATATTCACCCACTCTAAAATGTCTCACTAGTGCGCAAACCCTCCAGGACTACGTTCACATTTTCCAATCATCGGCCTCTCTAAGGGCTCACATTCACCGAATTCTATTAATAACTAGATAAATCAAAAACTTGGAAGGAATGCCAACAAAATCGGCGATCTGATTCCCGATGACATATACTTTCATGGTCCAGCCACCATCCTTGGATCTAACCCGGCATCTAATTCTAGGCTATCACGCTTCTATTTAGTGCGGGGATCGGCTTCGTATCCCTCCATAGAGGTCAACTTCCTGCCATCGATCGATACCTGGAATCTTGATCATATCCAATATCCAGAACTCGAGTACTCATGATTATCCTCCGTTGATTCGCCGGTCCCTGCCACCCATTCTATGACGATCAGGCCCTTCATTCAAGCGATCATTTGCTTGCCCTAGAAGCGACTGCGATCGATGCCAATATATCTCGTTCGGTACTTTACTCTGATTAGCAGTGGATCCAACGGAATGTCGTGGCTGACGCGGTCTCATTCGTAGTTTGATAGGTACGCTTGAGGTCTTCTGACTTGAAACTCTGATTCTCTCATACTTTATTCACCGCTCGTCCCCTTGCCATACTCATTCGCGATAGTCGTCGAGTCATGAGTCCGCGCGATTCATTTTTTTTCTCTGTGGCCCGGATGTATGAAAATGCATCTCAGACTAAGAGTTATCAGCCATCCTAGCTGCACACTTCGCAGTCACTTTGGCGCTCAGACAGAAAAACTCCTCAGACGCGAGGATCAGGTGTCGGGCATTTGCGCTGACTATCGTTCAACATCTGACATCAAGGACTGTGTTGGTTGTCAGACGTTCTGGTGCAGGCGTGAGTGGATAGCTAATTTGTTTCGGCAGTGATGCAGCAAGGTTTGACCTAGATCTTTCAAATATATGTCGAAATACTATATGTTAACTAAATACCACGACGACCAAATGTCTCCTCCCTGTAGGACACTCATCAAGCATTTCCCGATAGCTATACACTACTGCTAGTTGATACATGTACGCGCTCCTCGAAGACAATCGAATTCATGCTAGCTTCCGCATCAGAGTTAGCCACGAGCTTGGCATTATATTCTCGAACGCCAAGGACGAGGCGTGGTCCGAGCACAAACATCTGCACGACAAATAGAATTCGAAGAGCACCAAC